ATAACAAAAAAAAAAAAAAACTAAACCCAGAAATTCTCAACATCTAAGCCCCCTATAAACCCCCACAATACCCGTATAAACCGAGGCCACATACAAAGACCCGAGATGCTCGTGCACCTCAGTAACATAAGTTGCGTTATACTCCGTAAAAGAATTTACGGTCTCAGTAATTCGACCATCCTGGTTAATTTTTTGACCCAGGGGAAAACTCGTCAGCTTAGGATGCAATTTTTGAATATTGACCGACACCCAAAAATCGCCCGATTTCGTTCTCTTGATGCTGTCCGGGTTTCCTGGGAGGTGCGTGATAACTTCCTTGGTACGGGCCTTCGGGCCCTTCAGCCAAAGCCTCGTAATTTGACAGCCCAAATATTCCGCGATTAGAACAAACGAGCCGTCATGGCTGACTGCTACGCCAGCCGGACCCGCAATCCCGGTTAGGACCACCGTACGGAGTTTTATTTTCTGGTCGTATTTGAGTAGTCTGCCGCTCGTGTCCCCACTTAGGAGTACTTCTGTCATGTTGCTGCAATAAAAAGGTTTGGAGGTTAAGGGAAAGAGATTGTTTTTAACTTTTATAGCATTATTAGCATAGTTAATGCAATTTTGTTAATAATGTATGACGAGTCGACTCTCTTAACGATTAGGTTTATTGGTGTAAACGAGTTAGAGCCGAGCTCGAACACCTTTAACGAGCCGAGTTGCTCGCTAATCGAGCTCGAGTTTTGCTCGTTTTTTCCAATATTTACGAGTCGATCTTGAGTCTTAACGAGTCGAACTACAAAAACTATATAAAAATTCTTATTTTTGAAGCCTTAAAGAGCCGAATCGAGCTGATCCAAGCTCGGGTCGTTAAATAAACGAGCTTTAGACGAGCTCGAGCTCGAGCTCGAGCTCTTCTCGTTCGAGCCTAACCGGATTCACGAGAGCCGAATCGAGCTGATCCAAGCTCGGGTCGTTAAATAAACGAGCTTTAGACGAGCTCGAGCTCGAGCTCTTCTCGTTCGAGCCTAACCGGATTCACGAGCGACTTATTTCGTTTAACACGTCTAGATGAGCAGAGTCGAGCCGATACGAGCTCGAGTCATTAACTAAACGAGCTTTCAAGGTGAACGAGCTCGACTAATTTTGAGTCGAGCATAATTCACAAGCGACTCGTTTTGTTTAACAGATCTAAACGAGCCGAGTCAAGTCAATACGAGCTATAGTCGTTAGCTGAACGAGCTCGACTAATTTGGAGTCGAACTGAGTTCACAAACGAGTCGTTTCGTTTAACAAGTCTAGACGAGCAGAGTCGAGCCAATACGAGCTCTGGTCGTTAACTAAACGAGCTTTCGGCGAGAACGAGCTCGACTAATTTTTGGTCAAACAGAGTTCACCAGCGACTCGTTTCGTTTAACAAGTCTAGACGGGCCAAGTCAAGTCGATTCGAGCTCCTGCCGTTAACTAAACGAGCTTTCAACGAGTTCGAGCTCGACTCGTTTGAACCGAACAAACTTCACAAGCGACTCGTTTCATTTAACAGTCATGACTTGAAGAATTTGTGGTAGAAAAATGCATTAAGTGCGAAAAAGACATTACGTGTTTGTGAAGATGATGGTGCCAATATCGGTGAAATAAACCTCGTCCGTCATCGGGTCAATTGCTATGGCGTCCGGCCCATCCACCGGCATGCCGTCGCCGCTAGCAACCGGAGCCGCCACGCCGCCGCCGGGCGCCACCACCATCAGCCCCCGGAAAAGGTCGACCACGTAAAGCTCCCCTGTTTTGTGGTTGAATTCCATATCCAACGGCCTCCCGCAAATCCGCCCGATTCTCATATCTCCATGAGTCCCATCACATAACTCCTTCGACTGAAAAAATTAACAAAAAAAAAAATGCAATTTGGTCAAATTCTAAGTAACATTCAATTCAAAATTAACTACAAGAAAGAGAAAATATATTTGTACCCCAAGAAAGAAAAATTGTTACCTATTAGGAACAGTTGTGGCATACTCTACAAAGCCAGCATTTGGGCCTTGATATTTCACAATCCTACCATCATTAAGGCCTGTGTAAGGCCCACCATTGTCTGAATCAAAAGCATAAGCTTCACAGCCAGGTGAGGGAAGCTGAAGCCTCTTGAATGAGTGAAGGGCATTGGCTAAGGGGCTGTTTGGCAAGCATGATATTAATATCAGCAAGAAAATGGGAGCCATTGCTACACTTGAGTCTCACTAACACTGAAAGCAAGACAGTACAGTACAGTACAGTACACTTTGAAATGGTTCTTTGTGTGTTTGTTGAACTTTGTCTCAAATACTATTTGTGTAGAAAATTAGGAGTGTGGGTAGAACTCTTTTTAATTAATTAAAACAAAATGAGAGAGAATTTATTGCATTTGACTATTTCCAGTGTGATATGGAAAAATTTCCAATTCATTGTAGCTTCTGTTACAAAATTTACTTTTTGTAAGAGAAGTCTTCAAATGGCTAATGTTAATTATTTGATCCTTTCTGAATTGTGCACCCATCAGCCATAACATGGCAGACATTGATTGCTCACTTCATAGCATAAGTTTAAACTGTGTCAGGGGTCCATTTTTACTTTTTAATTTGCAATTTGCCCAAAAGAACAAAACACGAAAATTAAATAAGCATGCTTAAAGCTTCAAACAATGGTTAATAACTTAATTAATACCACTTCCAGTAAACACGGCCAACTCCTGGAATCCAAACTCGTTTTCTTATATTATAAAATCATGGTGAGGCCGACCTATCTTGTGTTTAAATTAAGCACAGCTATATTTATGGCTAAACCAAATATTTCACCACATTTGATTTGTTGGACTCATTTTTTGAATAAAGATCATGTTATTCCAGAATTGCACTTTTTGGTTCTGCCTTCAAATTTTCGGCAAATACATCTGCATAAATGTCGGTTGATCTGACAGCTTAAACTCCAATGGACACTACAAGAAAATGATAAAATTTCAAAGAAAAATTCCAATAAAAATATATTCCAATGGAATTCGAAAAACAATTCCAATAGATATTCTTATGCTATTATTTCTCTTGAAATTTTTCAATTGAATCCAACGGAAATTCTAACAAAAATATTGCATTAGAATGAGTTTTCTATTTGAAATTTTCATTGAATTTTGATAATCCTAACGGTTGAAATATAGGTGAAAAAAAAAAATCCAACGAAAATTTCGTTCAAACAAAGATTCGTACAATAAAAATTCGTTGGAAAAATAACCATTGGAATTATAAAATTCCATAAAGAATTCTAATAGAAAATTTCTTCCAACTGAATATTTTCGTTAAAATTTCTATTGAAATCATTCTAACAGAAGCAATACCATTGAAATATCCATTAAAATTTACATTAAAATATATTAGAATTTTCCATTAGAATATATTTAATTTTTTGTTGTTGGGGCAGGATGGATTTTTCCAAGTATTTCCCGAATTTGTGGCACATTAATAGTTTGTATTTCTGTTGTCAAATAAGATATTTTCTCATTATTAAATCATTATTAAATCATGAATATCTACATTGTGAATGACAACACTACTTTTAAATGGTCAAAATTGTGCTGCTCTACTAAAGTGAAAATCCTACCCTACACTAGACACTTGATACAAGTCAACTTTTTGCAGGTGAAGTGTACCTGCTCATATTTGACATTTATTTACTCTGAAATTGATTTCCACAACCTTTCCAGAATAATATAAAACGAGATCCACCATTTCTCAACTTATTTCAGAAGCATCCCCTAGAGATTTAGTAATATTAATTTATAAATACATGGGAGAGGCCTAACTTGGAGAAGAATATACCTAACTTAACTTGTAAGCCAAAAATACATAAAGATTTACAAGATAAATCAAACTAATGTACCGACTAATCCGATGCGACGAGCTGAGGTTAGCCGGTAAGGGGTTTCTTGCAATTTTTCCAAAATTCTCCAAATTTTTTTTCTTAATTAGTACCCAATCATCAATCATCCTAACTTAGCTGGACTAAAAATGAAATTTACAAAAACATTCAAGCTACATTCTTCCGAAGATGGAAAATCGACATAAACGAACGCATTCACTACTTCCTTTTCGACTTGCCATTGCCCGTACAAAGCACACATTTATATCACAAGGCACGGAAAAATAATGGTAAAAAATAAAATAAAATAAAAATAAAAATAAAAACTGGAAACACACAGCAATCAAGAACCCTATTGTTTACCATTCGGTTTAAGCGAATTTTGCACAAACTGCTGACGAGGCGAGGCCTGAGGTACAGATAGATTCCTTGGCTGCAACCCATTTCTGGATGTCGACGACCCGTGGGCCCGAAGCCCATTCTTGCCATTTGGGCTTGAGGCGGAGGCCCGATCCGCCTGCACTGTCTGGAAGTAGTATGATGAGCTGGCCATGTCTTTAAGGCCCGGAAGAGGCTTTAGGGCCTCAACAACTTCACTCATCAAAGGCCGGACTTTGGAGTCTCGGTTTAAACAACGGGCCGCCAGCTGTGCGGCCTTCTGGGCCCCCTTAATCGAGAAGTGGCCCTCGAGCCGCGGATCTATCAGGCGGTAGAATCTTCTCCTGTCGGCCATATTGGGCCGGGCCCACTCGACTAGGTTTTGCTCCCCATTGGGCCTGTTCTTGTCCATGGACCTCCGGCCCGTTATCATTTCTAGCAGGACAACCCCAAAGCTGTACACATCGCTTTTCGACGTGAGGTGGCCTGCAAAAAAAAATGCAGATTACAAAACATGAAAATACGATTTAAGAAGATTTTACGATTTTTTTTTGTTCTTTCTTTATACTCTGTTCATAATCGGGCAAGATGAAAATGAGAAGGAAAAAAGGATAGAATAAATAAATAAATAAATAAATCCACCTGTCATGACGTATTCTGGGGCAGCATAACCGTAAGTTCCCATGACACGTGTCGAAACGTGGGTTTTACCCTCATCGGGAGCATCTTTAGCAAGGCCGAAATCGGAAAGCTTGGCATTATATTCCTGATGAAACGAATAACGAAAAACTAAAAACATCATTTGTCTGGTAAAAAAAAAAAACATCAATAATGAAAAATGTAATCGAGAAAAAAAAAAGATCAAATGATGTCTACTTACAGCATCTAACAAGATATTAGATGTCTTAAAATCACGGTAAATTACGGGCCTTTCAGCTTCTTCGTGAAGAAACGCGAGCCCTTTGGCAGCCCCAAGAGCTATCTTCATTCTGATTGACCATGGAAGAGGGAGAGACCCTAAAATTCCAAAATTAACAACCGTTAGAAAAGAGGGATAAAATAAACAGCATTAAGATCAGAATTCATGAAAGATTCAAAAATGTCTCCAATGCATCCAAAAGAAAAAAACAATAATTTTTTTTTCAATACTTCTGAATAAGTGGTTCTCCAAGCTTCCTCTCGGCATGAACTCATAGACGAGCAGCCTTTGATCATCTTCAATACAGTAGCCAACTAATTTCACCAAATTCGGATGAATGAGGTCACCCAAGAAATTCACTTCAGCCTGCCAAATCATACATTAAANATCAAATATGAGGTGAGAACTGAACAGTGAACCTAATAATCATTTAGTGTTGCATTTGGATGAAAGGATCTAACTTGAATGCACAAAGTTTAAATCCAAAAGAAGAGCTGAAAGAGGCTATGAATTTGCAATCTTCCAAATAAACATTCAGAAAATTTCACTTACTAAACACCCATAAGGCTTAAATCCATTTTTTTTTTTTTAATATTGTCCTATTCATAAGAACATTATCTCAAAAAACCCACCTGCCATTAATAATTTAATAGACATTATTAAAGTTACCCCTATAAAATTAAGACAGAACCAAAAGCCTCAGGGGGTTTTTGTTACTTGTTCATAATTTCCACTAACCTTTAGGCTCTACAGAACTTAACCGAAACCTCAGAAAGGTATTTGGAGTGATCCCTCTTATTAGTTAAAAAAAAGATTCAAAACTCAGCCAAAAACATACAAACTTTCTACAAAAGAAACAAAAAAAAATTGAGAAAAGAATCAAACCAGCCATTCTCTATGCCCCTGAAGCCCATCATGATTCAAAGTTTTTACAGCTACCGTAAGTCCAGTTCCGGGTTTAACTGGGGCCGTGCCATTCTCTTCAATCCACCCTTTAAACACACAACCAAAACCCCCTTCGCCAAGAAGTGATTCGGGTCTGAAATTCCTTGTTGCAAGCTTAAGATCATTAAATGCAAATTTTCTCAGTCGAGAAGAGACTTTAAGATCTTCCTCGAGTTTGGTGATGGATGAGATGCTTTCTGGGCTGCTGCTTGTGGTGGTGGTGGATGAGATTACATTGGCAGCCTGTTGATTTCGGCTAGTTTCGTTTGTGGATTTAGTTTCTGTGAGAAGGTAGAAAGGGAGAAAAAAAAAATGAAGAATTTTTGAAAATATATGGATGCGATTCAAGGATTATGTGTATTTTACATAATAAATAGCGAAAAGTATCAGATGATTGTGAATTATGCATTTGATCATATATTTCACACTTTACATGTGATGCAAACAACAAAAAGGAAGCATCTTTGATGGAAATAACTAAAATGAGAATAAGGTTTTCTTAATAGTAACTCAGTATCTATTGAACTTAGCAATTAAACGTCTTGATTGGTTCTTTTCCCTTGCATTTCTTTTTTTAAAAATAAGCCAAAATATGGCTTTATTAGCACCTATACTACATCTGAGTAAAAAACAAATGATAGCAACAAATTTCAAAAGACAAATACAGGGGAATATAACTTTGTTCACCAACTTGAACTAAAAACTCTAGAAATTTTTTCAAAGCCATGTCGAAAAATCAAGTTCCTGAATTTCTAGAAGTATTACTAGTAAAAAACACGAGCTACCGAGATCGAATTATCCCCACACAAACTCCAAAAATCAAAACAAATCAAGGCTTTCCAAGATAACAATCGGCATCGACTAAAGCATGAAAAAAGCAAATACAGAACTTAAAGAAAGAAACTTGTCCTTCATATCAAGCCTAAAGAAAATATTTACACAAAACACAAACAGAAGTAATATTTATGAGAAGAGAAGGAAAAAGGAAAAGGAAAAATAATTACCATGAGTGGTGATGCCACTAACAGAGTTATCAACTTTAGATCTTGAAGATATACAGCTGCCAATAAACCTCAATTTTGTCCAACAACCAGACTCAACAGTTTCATCATCATCATCAACATCAGTATCATTTTTCTTCTTCTTCCTCCCTTTAGATTTCTTCACATCCAAAGACTCCATTTTTAAGCCATCAACTAATCCCATCCTTTTACAGACACAATAAAACCATCNCCAATTTACAAAATAATCCTCACTTCTAGCCCAATTTCATGGAGACCCCTGAATTAATAACCCACAATTACTCGAACCCACTTCAGAAAAGAAGTCAAATATAGCAAGGATGAAAAAATCGCCAGAAGATTACAGCAAATACGTTCTCTTCCCTTCAAGAAATTATTTATATTACAAAATAATATCACAAAAATCCCCAAAACATCAAACTCAGCAAAGGATTACAGAATATCCATTCCACTAAAGTGAAAAGTGAAAAAATAAAAGAAAAATACGAAAACCCAGATTCAAATCGGTGAGATAGCTCAGACCCAGTTGATAAAATCTGCTTAAAATTACAGTGAGAGAGGGTACAATAAACTTCAGTGATTGAAGATCCTAATCTTCAAAGCAGAAACTTTGTTGGAATCACACGAAAGGCAATATAATAATAAATAAAAGGCAAACAATGCGAAAATAATAATAGTATTATAATCTAAGTTCAAAAAAGTAGGCAGAAGTTATATGAATATGTGCCACCAGTCCATTTTCTCTTGAAAAAAGATCGAAATCTCAGCAAGCGAGACGCAAATTGTGCTGACCAGTTCAAATTCAAAGCTCAAGGACAAAATGGAAAACGAAACTGAAATAAAATATGCACTAGAAACAAGTAGCAATCCTCAATAATAAATATGAATAAATTGGGTAATATTTTATTTAAGTTTCGTTGTTTTGTGATGTTTTGGGTGTGCAATTTATGGCCTAGGTAAACAAACAAGAGAGGAAAAGTATTTTCTTGACAAAATATGAATTGTCATTTCTTACTTTTTGCTAATAGAATCTAAGACTAACAAAGCAAATAGAAGTCTGCCCGGAGAACACGGGCAGGATGTGAAACAACAAGCAAAAAAGAAGTAATTTCTCACCTTGGGCATGGAATAAAAGTTAAAAATCATGCTAAATAATATAAATAATCAAATAAACTTTGATATAATGAATACAAATTGCAAATTTTATTATTTTATATATCACATTAAAAAAAAAAATTAAAACTATTATATATTTCCGTCATTTTTTATCATTCATTATATCATCTCATTATAATAAAGTAGCTTTATCACAAGGTTATGATACAAGGGAACAAAGACATTACTATAAATATGTAAATTTCACTTATAGAAATCTTGTTATTTAAATTGTTAAGTTAAATAGGGTGTGCACAAGTTGAGTTCAGCTTGAAGTCATGTCAAGCCTTCTATCGAGTCAAGTAGATAAATAAATTCAATTTTAGTTCGCTTATCAATATTAACGAGTGCGTCGAGTGGAACTCAAAGTCTTAACAAATTAAATTATGATTATAAAAATGAAAAAGTTAAATTGTGATTAAAAAATTTACATAGGGACGTCAACCAGTCGGGCTGTGTTGAACTCTAGTCAAGCCATTATCGAGCCAAATAGATAAATAAACTCAAATTCGGCTCGCCTATCAATATTAACGAGTCCAACTCAGACATTAACTAGTTCAGGTGCGATTGAAAATTTAAAAACTCATATAAAAATCTCAAGTACAGCCACATTTGTTTGTCCACTTTTTGTGTCTTTATTTCATGTTTATTTTCTTTTTGTTTTTCCTCATTTGTAGGTTTTGCGTAGTTTATTTGGTCCATTTCGTTCGTTTGGTGTTTTTCTCTTTAGTTTCTATTTGTGTGTCTTTTTACCGTGTTTTGCTTCGTGTTTTTTCTTATTTTTGTATTTTCAGGAGGTAGGTTGCCGGTCGAGGTTGGGACTGCTTGAGCCGAGACCGTGATATCGAGAATACCCGGTGTCGAGCCCAGGAGACTAAAGGAAGGACTGAAAAACGGACAGAAAAAGCGCCCAGAATTTCTCGCGACTCGTGAGTCGTCTCGCGACCCGCGAAAGAAACAGAGGCTTAAGGGGCGATCCGGAGCACGAGTCGCGACTCGCGACATGGAGTTGCGACTCGCGAGTTATGTCGCGACCAAACCCCAGGAATTGAACATCTTGACGACGCGCGACTCGAAAAAAGGTGAAGTCACGACTCGCGACTTATCGGCGCGAATTTCGAGGAGCGGGTTTTTAACATCAGATTTCGGTCCTAGGGTTGATTATTCACTTCCAGACTTTGTTTTTACGTGTTTTCTCTAGAAAAACTCACTCCTTTTCATGCTTTTTCTCTTTTGATTCGATTTGGAGTTTGAAAAACTCTTTTTTCTCGCTTTGGATTTGGATGCATTTGGATTTGACATTGGATTCTTTATATTAATCGTAAGTTCCTTTTCTCAATTGCTTTGTTGATGATAATGGCTTAGGTTGATATGAATTGTGATGTTAAATTAGTTATGAGTAGCTAAATCCATTTGCTAGGGATAGGGGATGATTGATTAGGTTCGTTATAGTTGAATGCTTTTGATTGTTCTTATCTACTCGAGTTGTGTGAATTATAGGGTTAGTAGATTGATCACCTTTCTAACCTAGTTAATCAACGTATAGAACCGAGAGGGGAGACGTTGGTCGATTTAGGCTCGTTTAGAATAGACTTGTTCAGAAACGTATTGTCTATGTGTTGTTGGAATTGATAGTTGATCGTTTACATTCACTCTCTTGTTACGAAGAGTTATTGAGAGTGAACCTCTGAACGAGAAACGATTCAAGTCCTTTAACCGAGCAATTGATTGCCGGTGATTATGTTAGAACCGAAATCAATAATCCCCGATTCCCTAGCTCTTTAATCATTCAGTGAATTTCTTTGCCATTTTACTTTCATTTTATTTAGTTTAAATCATTAGTTGATAACTGAAACCCAAAATATTGAATTAGAGTGTTTAGGAATTTGTCTTCTCTTTTTCGTGATTGAATAAACGCACAAGAATATCCGGGTAACCTTTCTTGCGATACGACCCGGGGAACGAATATTTCGATTCTACACCGGTAAAAATACTGACAACAACATTCGAGCCCCTTGAGAATATTCGAGCTAACATATAGTGTTGTTAAATTAAACGAGTCTGGTTCGACTTGAATTCGGCTCGGCTCGTTTGATAAACAAGCCGAACTCGAGCTCATATAAAGCCGTTTGGTTAACGAGTAGAGTTCGGCTCGATAAAGATCGAAAAAAAATAATTTTGTATAATTTTCTATAGTTTGAATCGTTAAAGCTCGAGATCGGCTCGAACACGGCTCGTTATAAGTTATAAACGAGCCGAGCTCGAGCTCGATTTCAGGCTAATTTAATTAACGAGTCGAGCGCACCTAAGGTTGTTAAAGGCTCAAACTTGATTACCCTAAGATCGAACTCGACTCGATTCGTTTACTAACCTTCTCACGAACGACTCATCTCATTTAATATTTCTAAGTACAACTTAATTGCAAGGGAATCAAATTTCCATTTCCAACGAGGGCAAATATGAAAATAAAACCACATATGAGGATTGGGGGGTTTCATATGTAAGTGGGAAAAAAAAAACGGGCAGCTCGGGCATGAGAGATACTAAGAGTGGGGGACCCACGTGTGACGTGACGTGTCACTTTAGGGTGGTTTGACAATGGACGCGCCCTAGTGCGGGTGGATATGAATGAATGATTCTGTTCATGCATCTCCTCTCTTTTGGAAAATAAAAAATATTTTTTTTATTAGGATTATATAATTGATGGATCTATTTTTCTATTTCAATGTTGTTCGTGTTGGTGACTGGAGATGAGAGTAGATAAGCTCATTATTATTTAAATTGTGATATGAATATAGAACAAATAATGTAGTTATATGCAATTAAATATTGAATGTTTGAGAATGTCTCTGCTAATTAATCATTACTTGTTAAGGGAGGATGTTAAAATATTATTGAAGCATATTAGGGTTGTTATCAAATCGAGTTTAAGATTTTCGAGTTTGAATTCGATTAATCATTATTAAAAATATTTATTCGTGTTCGTACGTTTATTGGTTCGACAAGTTCGTTTATATAGTCGAACTTGTCCGTGAACTGTTCGAATAGTTCGACAAGTCCGTGTTAGTGTTTGTTGACTTTTTTTATGTTAATACTATACAAATTATTTTATTTAATATTTAATATGTAATATATATCCATATTTAGATATTATATTTTATATATATATATATATGTGTGTGTGTGTGTATGTATAATATATATAATATATAAAATATCTTTTTGTTCACGAATGTTCGTTTAATTCTCGAACTTGTTTATGTCCGTTCGATAACTAAACGAGCATAATTTCATGTTCGAGTCTGGATCAATTACTAAACGAACGAGTTGTTATTGAACAAGAACGATCACGAACAAACTTTGTTCGCGAGCAGTTTGGTTCGAGTATAATTTGGTACCTCATGTATAGTTGAAGTTGGGTAAGAGTTTTATAGTTGGAAAAATCCTACATCTATATAGGCAAGGGATTTTCAGATTAATCAACCGTTTCCTCAAAATTCAATATCTAAAAGAACTTTCAAGCTAATTATTTAGGTGATTTTACATGTTTACTACTTTTTTTATTTTTACAATAATACGATACTCAAAATAACACTATACATAAGCAATTTATAAATGAAACAAAAAGATTATGCAATTTAAAGATCAAAGACAAATATAACTTCAAATCAACCATTTATAACCAATAAAAATCATTATATGACAGCTAAAAATAAAATTTTCATATTATGCAAATAAATAGGGATTTATATGTCTGTAATTTCTCAAATGTTTATCCAAGATGCCGCAACAAAAAGCCTACAAGTAAAAACAAATCAATCATGAACTTCTTGCTTGGCCTTCTCTTTTATTTTTGAAAAAAAATTACACTCCTCACCACATATATTTTACTTTTAAACAAAAAGGGAATACTAATTTTTTGAGTAAATTTGTACACAATATTGTTACTTTTTGTATTAATTTTTAATTACAATTGTCATATTTAAATGTGCAGTCTTACCAAGTCAAAATGTTTTTTTAAATATGATAAAATGCTTAAATAATGTTAGGGAAATATTTTTGATCGGGAAATCTTTCAACTCAAACACACAATTCATACAGAATTGTATCTCTGCACACACACTATTACACACAAAATCCTTCAATTTCACTTCCATCCTCACGCACTCCTCATATAATGATTCACTCAAAATTCTCCATTATTTTATTGTTTTACTCCATATCTTGTTGAAGGCGGCCAAATAGGAGGTGTTGGCAACCAGATATTAGAGTGGCTCCGTGTGGCGAGGTCGACAAAGCGTCGGGATTGGGCAGATGACTCGTTGCGGTTAGGATTTCGTTTATGTACCGTTTATGTATAGTATATGGATATAAATAATTTTTTTTAATATTTATTTTAATGTTGTGATATTATGGTATGTTTATTTTTTGTTATGCATTCAAATTTCAATCATCTATTCGTTGTTCAAGATCGGCACTTCTCCCATTTATTTTAAAGGTTTGGTATTTTCTTGCTAAGTTGAACAAGTTAAATTTTATTTGCAATTAAACAAAAGGTTGGGGTTTATATAGGCAATTAACCCTATAATTAATAAGTAAATTGAAAGAGATATTGTTCGAATTCATTGGGATCTTAAGCACATCACAATTCGGATATTAACTTGTTCATAAATAAATACGCTCAAAATAATTTTAACCATGGTTAATTTTTAAAAAGTTGGATGGTTAGTTGTTACGTTGGTGTGATTTTGATTTTATATTAAAATAATATTTAAATCAGAATAATTAAAGTTGATTTAATGTAAAAGTATGAGATAATTGATATGAAGTGACAGTTTAGTTAAAATTATGTGAGTGTATGAATAGAGAATTATATTTGATGTGATGTGTAAGAATGATTGATTTGTATTATTTAATTATATTAATAATGTTGAGGATAATGAAGTTGTGTTAAAGTTGAATTAAATTTTGAATATAAATTGAATGTGAAGAGATTAGTTTTTAAACAAACATGCTATACGCAAGTTATATGTGGGGTTGCTCATTCGGTCGAAATCGAACCAAACCCAAAAAGTTCTGTTTGTCCATTATAAGAACCGAAAACTAAACCAGAATTTATGGTTCGGTTCGTTATTTAACCGAAAATCCAACGGTTGGTTCAGTTTGGTTATCAATTAATCGCAACAAATAAATAATATTCTTAATAAATTGTAATTTTTAACCGAACCATAAAATTAATTTTTTATCCGAACAAAAAAAAAATTGATTTTATCACCTTGTTTAATTTTCTCAATAAATTTAAAATTCTCCTCAAAGGAAGATCTCGGACCTGAACCGTGACTTGGATAAGACATTTGAGTGCAAATTAATGCTTGAGTCATTTTAGGGGTCATTGAATCCTGAAAATCGTCAATAATTGAAGCAAATTTGTTTTTATAATTTATATGTAAATAAAAAACACATATGTATGTGTATAAATCTGTTTTCGGTTAACCAATCACTATTATCCAAACCAAACTGAAAACCAAAATTTTAAGAAAATGTAAACCGAAACCGAACATAATATTCAATTTCGGTTTTGATTCCAATCCAAAATAAATTTTCGATTTCGGTCGGTTCGACTCAATTAACCGAACTTTGTACACCCATAGGTATATATTTACAGATGCTCAAGAGGAATTTAGCTTCTTTCATTATACAAGAACTCTTGAGCTTTGCATGTCTTTGAAGTCAGAATCAAACATGTCAGCATCTTTAATGGAAAAACAGCAAAATTGGCCTAAAGAGTTGTCAAATGTTTCGGGATCAAATCTTGATCAAAATGCGCAATAGCGTGTTTCATTAAAACATCCAAATCTCCTCTCTTATCTGCGCAAATTAGAATTTTTGAATTTTTAGTGCGACTAAATTTAGAATATATTTAAATAAATTGTCACACAATGACAGACACATGAATTAAACTGTAACAAACCACGCCAACTTAGCATTAAAACTAGCCAACAGAGACGAGAAATCAACGATTAAAAAAATTAGTCATGCTAATCATCCCATAATTAGATTGAATCAAATAAATCTAGCAAAATGGAAGCACCCAAATTCAATCCCCTTTCTTGAAAAAAATATAGGTAATTAACATCTTGGAGCTAAATAAATTATTTGGTAAGTGTTTGGAATAGCATTTTGTATCTAAAATGTTAATTTTGAATATATATATATATATATATATTTTTTTAATACAATGATTGTAAACATGTAAAATAGCTAACTTTTTAATTCAATCATTTTTCCTAACCGCAATTATCTATTTTCAATCAATTATTTATTTTCAATTATTAATTATTTATTTTCAATCAATTATATATATAGCTAACTCTTTAATTCAATCAATTATTAAAAGTGTCAAGCACACATAAAATTTTGAAAACCAAAGAAACCCGTGCGATAGTTGATTATCCCCAGCTTTCAAATCCACAATAACAACCCCTAATTACTCTTAATTCCGCAAATTAAACCCAAATATTTTGATTTTTCCATGATTTTCTCCCAATTTGCATAACTTCTTCCCCAACAATAGCCATAAAATCAAGAAACTCCAAGAAACGATTTTTATCAAATGGCGTTCAAGAGTCTCTCTTTCCCTATCCTTCTACTCCTCACCCTCTCACTTTTCTCCTCCGGCGCACTTTCCGGCGGCCGCCCCCACCGCCACCGCCACCGCCACCGCAGCCCGTTCGCCGGCGGCGCCTTCCGATTCCCTGCCCAAACCCCCGCTTCCCACTTCCATTCCGCCCTCACCCCCCCGTCGACCTCCCACCACGGCGGCTCGTGGTCCCTCCTGCAGTCCTCCATCGGCGTCTCCGCCATGCACATGCAGCTCCTCCACGACAACACCGTCGTCATCTTCGACCGCACCGACTTCGGCCCATCAAACCTGTCCCTCCCCGCCGGAAAATGCAGGGACAACGACGACGCCCTGCCCATGGACTGCTCCGCCCACTCCCTCCTCTACGACGTCGCCGCCAACACCTACCGCCCCCTCGCCGTCGAGACCAACGTCTGGTGCTCCTCCGGCGCCGTCAACTCCAACGGCACCCTCATCCAGACCGGCGGGTACAACTCCGGCAACCGCAAGATCCGCATCTTCACCCCCTGCTCCGCCGCCGCCGACTGGATCGAGCTCCCCACCAACCTCACCGTCCAGCGCTGGTACGCCTCCGACCAGATCCTCCCCGACGACCGCGTCATCATCGTCGGCGGCCGCCGCGCCTTCAGCTACGAGTTCTTCCCAAAACAGAGCAATTTCGCCGGCAGCTCGAATTCCTCCTCCGACGGCGCCTTCTACTTCCCCTTCCTCAAAGAAACCACCGACCCGAAAGAAGAAAACAATCTCTACCCCTTTCTCCACCTCCTTCCCGACGGAAACCTCTTCGTCTTCGCCAACCAACGATCCATCTCTCTCGATTACCGCAGAAACAGAGTAATCAGAGAATTTCCGGCAATACCCGGCGAGAAAAGAACTTATCCGGCAACTGGCTCCTCTGTCATGCTCCCGCTTATTCTCTCTCCGGCTGCCGACCCTTCTGTTGAGATAATGATCTGCGGAGGCGCGCGTGGCGGTGCCTACCTCAACGCCTCGCGTGGGATCTACGTGGCAGCCTCAAAATCCTGTGGTCGGATCCGGGTCACAGATCCCGACCCGGGTTGGAAAATGGAATATATGCCCATGGGTCGGGTCATGCCCGACATGCTCCTTCTCCCAACCGGCGATATCATAATTGTAAATGGGGCAGGTCGCGGGTCGGCCGGGTGGGAATCCGCAATTGACCCGATCCTAAACCCAATCCTCTACCACCCATACGAATCAGATCCGGCCTCACGATTCCACGTGCTCCGCCCCACGAAAATCCCCCGTATGTACCACTCATCAGCCATCCTTCTGCCAGATGGCAGGATTCTAGTGGGCGGGAGCAACCCGCACGTGAGGTACAATTTCACAGGCGTAAAGTACCCCACGGAGCTCAGCCTCGAGGCCTTCTCGCCGCCTTACCTGGCGCCGGCGCTCGCCGGCCTCCGGCCGTCGATTATTGTCGTCGAGAGGACGATTTCGTATGGGCAGAGGTTTGAGGTCACGTTTGTGATGGGGATTTTGTGGCCTGCGGGAGAGTGCGTGGTAACGGCGGCTGCACCCTCGTTCACGACTCACTCGTTCGCCATGAACCAGCGGCTGCTGGTTTTGAGGGCGGTGGGCGTGGATCAGCTGTCGGCGTTTGCGTATAAGGTTACGGTGGAGTCGCCTGTGAGTGGGAATATTGCGCCGCCGGGTTATTATATGCTGTTTGTGGTGCATAGGGGTGTGCCCAGTGAGGGTGTTTGGGTTAGGTTTGGTTGAGGTGATACTTGGGTTTTCTTTTTGTGTAGAGTTTGAGAAAGGTTTTTCTTGTGAAGAATTTTTTTAAATTTTTTTTTTTTTGGGTGAACTAAGGAGAATTAGTAGATAGGGATTAGGGAGTACGAGGGTCAATTCTCTTGACATTTTATTTTTGGAGAAAATCAGAAGAAATGGTTCGTATTTGGCAATTATATAGTTTCATTTCATCAAGACATCATTTAGAGTTTTACTGTTTAGGGTAATGCCTCATGCTATTTGTGGTTGAGTATTTGTGTTTTGGTGCTATCTATTTTACCTGTTTGTCACAGGGGTGTTCACGGTCCGGTTTTAACCGAAAAAAACCGTCAATTCAGACTGCGGATCGGTTAAATGGTCAGTTAAAAAAACTTTAAAAAATCCGGTGATTAATTTTTTTAAAAATCCGGAATAATCGGTCTGGTTAACGGATTACCTGCGGCAAACCGTCGGTTTAACCAGACCGAACCGATAAATATTAAAAAACTACAACAAATATATATACATTCAGTCATTCGCTATGGCCGACAAATACATAATCATACCTTATATGCAACGAAGCTCCAAATCCCTATGCAATCAACAAGCTCTTGCAATTCTTTTCTTCACTCATATTCCTCAATATCTCTCTCTAGAGTCTAGAAATGTTTATGGCTTTGAGCCCTTGGCTTCACACTCTCAATGCCAGCATTATGGTCGCCGCTTTTTTCATCGTCACAATCTTTCGATTTTGCAATACTTAAATTATTGGTTCACTAATTACATTTAATTTATTACTTACTACACACTTGTCACTTATTACATTAATACCTATCACACCACGACATAATATTACCATATTAATAACTAACACACCACACTTGTGATGGCGATCAGAACACATTACCATATTTGACACAATATGATCGGCTCCGGATTTAGAAGATATATTATTGTCCTTTATTATTTATTTTATTTCATATATTAATTAGGAGAATAATTGATGTTGCTTTATTATAGGAAAATAATTAATTTCTTGTCTAGCAAGTTGAGGAGTTATACTAGGAATCTACTCATTGGGATCTCTCCCCACAGTAGCCTCGATTGAACAAAATTATCTCTTGAGTTTTTACTCTCAGTTCCCATCGTACGTTTCTGCCTACATCAGTTGGTATCAGCAGTCAGCATGATTTGAGATGCCACCAAAACGAAACGACAAAGACCGACGTGATGCCCATCTGGAGGATTTGGACCGAGGCACCCATAATCTCAGTCTCCAAATCGAACGGGTTGATCGACATGTGGAGGGTCTTTCTCACGGGATAGAAGAGAACAGATTGGCGATCTGAACTACGATGAATGGAGAGCACACGGACCGCGATTTAACCGGCCGAGACTGTCGCGGGGGCTATCACAGAGGACGTGGCAGAAGAGGCCATAGCGGGGTGCCCCGTCATAGATCGCCATCTCTAATGCACGGCTATGATGACAGCGAGAAAACTCTCTCGGATGTCAACCCTTCGGTATCCGATAGGACTAACGAAAGGATGAAGATGGCCGAAGGCGCGCGGACCACCTAGACGCCGAAGGCTGGGGCGACAGTCGCTAGCCGCGTCGCACGGCTGACGGCGGCGAGGGCCGATAGAGTCTAACTTTCGAGTAGAGGTACCGGAGTTTTTCGGCGGAATCGACGCCGCAGAGTTTCTTGATTGGCTCACTGCTGTGGAGTCGGTCCAACAGCTACCAACGGCCTTCGGTGCTTTTCATGTGGCGGGTTGGGTCATCGGCAGTCTGAATGTCCCCGGCCCAGTGCTGTTCGGGCATTGTTTGCCAATGACGGAGGTGATCGGGCATTATGTAACTATCATTTAATTTATGATATATAATAATTTCATATTATGTCGTGGGTCCAAATAAAATTAAACCAATTAATGATGTTGAATCCAACAAAGAAATAATACGACTTTACACTTTTCAAAATATATTCGTCATTTTTCTTCTCATATCCAAATTACAAATTTTAATGTGAATCTTAAATATCTCATATTTATTAAATAAATATATTTAAAAAAAATATGACGATTCATATAATTAATTTTATCACATATCATGTGCTAGATATTATTAGTTTGGTTGGAGACACTCATCTCACCAAGATATTAAACATAAATAATTATGCTTAATGAAGTTTTAAAAAATATTTTAAGTAACAAGCTCGTACATCGCATGAGATGCGTACTAGCTTATCAAGAATGTATGACTCAAATATCAAAATAAAACTTGGTGAAATAAATATTAAAGTTAATAAACTTCTAAAAGAAAGTTGCAAAATTGATCCGACAAAATTGATCAAATTGTAAATTTGATCTCAAGTTGCAAATCAAGTCCTATTTTGACTAATGGTCTGTCTAACTAACGATGTGATCGAAATTGCAACAAAAAAAAAAAAGAAAGTAAAGGGATCATTTTCGCTATATATGAGACTAAATTTGCAACGGCATGTGGAACTAAACTTATAATTTTCTCTTAAAAAAACTCTAATCATTTATTCTCTTTTGATAGAATGATTTATTGTGTTGCTAATGGATAAACTATGCTACAATTCATTACTTTATTGAATTTTGTTTCCATTCACTTTATTTTGCCTTCTCGATATGACTAGAACTATTTTAATGATTGGATTTTTGTTTTAACATTATTTTATTTTTTTTTATTTTTTTATTTTTTTTATACTGAGGTTGTAGGCTTGCGCCTAACTAGTCCTCGAGGAAACAATTCTCGGCTCTTCAGAAACCGCATCAAGTTAAACAGCATTATTTTATTTTGATTGTGTGTTAAGTTGATTGCTTTCATTGTTATAATGTTTTAATGTTAGTTGATTTATAAGGCTTAATGATCTATTAATCAAATAAGACATATAATNATCTTTCTTTACAATGCAAAACGTAATAAAAAAAATGACAACATTGGGAAGTACCACAATTACAATCAATAATCACGCTGGGTGCATTTATCAACTTTTTCGAAAACAAATAAATCGAACATTCTGGATAACCTCAATTCTTATAAAATTTTATAATAAAAATAAAAATTATAGTATAAATATATAATTATCGACTCATAAAATAAAAAGCTCTGTACTAAATAATCCACCCACCAATCCTCGATACACTCCTAACCCTGCCGCTCCTCCCAAAACCCTTCTCTACATCCTCCTCCGCCGTCTACGGCGGCCTGAAACCCAGTCTCCCGACTCCTTATTCTCCTTTCTAGCCGCATCAACAATCGAAAAATGGCGGCGTCGGCAGCTCCAGCACCGTCTTCCTCCGAGACTGCCGCCACCGACGGGCCCGCCCTCAATCTAATCAACAAGCGCCTCCGCGCTCTGCGCAAGAAGCTCAACCGCATCGCCCAGATGGAGGAGTCCCTTTCCCAGGGAAAAATCCTCAACAAGGAGCAGGAGGAAACCCTACGCTCCAAATCGTCCGTCCTGGCCGGCATCGACGAGCTCGAGAAGCTCCGGCAGCCTCTCCTCCAGGCCGTCGAACAGGAAGTCGAACTTGCTCTGGAGAAAATCAAGCAGAAGCCGGACGCCGTCGCGGAGGGAATTCCGAGCGAGGCCGCCTCCGCCATGGAGGCGGAGCCCAAATCGGGGACCGCCACCGCCGCCGCTGACGACTCGGCGGTTTCCGATCTGCTGAATCTGCTGTACTTTGGTACCGTCTTTGACGTGAAGACCCTGTTTTGGGCGCGGGACAACATGCTCACCAGGACGCACGAGAGAAATTGCTGCCTGACGTATGATTGCGTAACGGACGATGATGCTGCCGGGGATCTTCTGAAAGAGCCGGATTTGGACTCGATTGCCTCGCTCGGTGGCTTGTTGGTTTCCCGGCCAGTAAATTCGAGCCTGTCCCATAAGAACGCTTTGCAGAAGTGCTTGGAGCATGCCAAGCTATGGCTTGCAAATTCAGAGCAGCCGATCGAGCCCAACTCGAACATCACTTGTATGAACAAATTTCTCCATTACTCTTTTAGCGCATGTTTTCTTTGCATTGCTTGCATTGCTGTGTAGTTCTAGGGGCAGACCTTCATTTTGGATCGAGTGATTTATTGGAATTACTTGGCTCTGATAATTAATGACTCTAATGTTTAGTTTGTGGTATTGGGTAATGAGTATTTACTATCTCACATTCCTATTTAGAATTGCATATGTGTCGGCATTCGTGTGTATATCAAATATAGTATGCAGATTACCTGTTTTTTTTTTTTTTTTATCAGTACTGACTACTGAACTTAGTATTAAGCAGCAGAGTCAAAATCTGATGCGCACAAGGGATGGCACAAGGGATGACACTGTTCGGATTGTCTGTTACAGTTCTGAGCTCATTCCTACTGTTTTTTGCAAAATTAGTATTCATTTTTCTTTTTTGATTGGACATTTATGCCAAATTTGTTCAAAGGGTTCATGTGATCAATTCTTTATTATCTAAGCTTGGTAGTGGTTTATTAGCTTTCTTGATGACTTTTCCTCATTTTCTTACTTAATAATGGGCTTCCATCTCAGATGCTGGCTTGAGGGAGAAGTTGAATAAGATTATGGCTTCAGAGTACTTCACAACTACTCCCGAGATAAAGGATGCAGGTGAAGTAGCAGCTGCTGGTGGCAATTACGCATCTTTTCAAGTGCCCGTGCAAGGTACTTCTACTGTTCCTCCAGTTGACACGACCATCCCAATGGAAGGCTCCACAGTTGAATATCAGCAAGAGGTAAAATTTATTTCAAGCCCTCTGTTTTTTATCTTACTTTTTGGGTTCCGTTAGGAAGAGAAAATGGTATTGGCAAAATTCATCAGCTGTTACTGCATTCGCTACTGTGGTGGGGTGAATTATGTTCTACATGTTGGTAGCATGAATTTTCTATCCTATTTGATCTTCGTTGATTTGATCCACTTATGAAAGAGCATATTTTTATTTGTTACTCTCTGTAGGAGCCTTGTAATCTTTGAATTAGGGGAAAACCATGCATAAGCCAGTTACTGTTGGCCTGGGTTCTTGGGGGATGTCTGTATATAAAATATTTTTATTTTGTTTAGATTTTTTGGTTTGGTATGGTTAATTTTGAAAAAAATGGTATGGTTAGTTGTTACCTTTACCAGAATCTCACTATGGGGTTTACATATTTTCTATTCGAATCTGAATTCCATTTCCTATGCATTCAATATCTCTTTGAATATCATGGTTATAAGAAAAGATCCAATTTTTTTGCAGGAAGAACATCCCAATTCTCACGAGGCTGATGATACTTACATTAATGAAACTGGTCATGTTCAAGAAAATAACCAGGTAATAACATGCTTCTTTTCATAGTAGCATCTTGTAGTTCCAAGTTTTGGTTGATTAGGCCTGTAAACGAGCCAGAAATCGAGCTCGAACTATAAAAAAGTTATATAAAAAAATCTCTTTTTGAGCCTTAGCTGAGTCAGACTCGTTTAATTTAACAGCACTTCCACTCAGGTCTAGTCTTGCTTACTTGGAACCTACCGTTATCATTTGAAATTACGAATATAACCCCCTGCTGTTTTATCTCAATTCGATGTATTAATTTTCTCATGTTTAACACAACAGGAGGAAGTTCCAGCTCAAACAGAACAGGATTTGCCCAATTCTGAACATGACCAAAACTCGAAGGACCAAAACGCAACTCGTAAGTCGCATCACGGCTACCGAAGTGGCGGCGGCCGGAGAGGATACAGCAACGGTCGTGGAGGGAGAGGCGGCAGCTTTCCGAACGGCCGTGGCCAGTTTTACGAGCAGCCAGGTGGCGGTAATTATTACCAGAGGAGCAATTATGGGTACAAAGGACGAGGAGGGAGAGGTACAGGTGGCGGCGGCAACTATAATCACCGTGGCCCAGCGCCAGCTGGGCAAGCTCAGGTGGCTTCCTGATGTATTGTTCTAATATATGTGTCGAGGTTTATATATTTCTTTTTCTGGATGGGTTTTTAGTCGTCGTTTTGCTTGTTATTCGAGGAGTGTGTGATGTGAGGTGGTTTTTTCGGAACTTTTGGACCGGTTACAGTTTTTTTTGGGTTTAATGTGGAAATGAAATCTCTCTTAATACTCTCTCTCTCTCTCTCTCTCTCACAGTTTGTTGTGAATTTATCTGTTACTACAGTTTCTTATGTTTAGAATGTGGTCTGTATGGGTATCTTAATTTGAGTTGGTTCCAATGTGATCCAAGGAAAATGAATTTCACACTATAATCCGGCATAAATGGTGTATTAAAATCTAAGGCTGGATTTCTGAGTGCTAGTGTATATAGACGATTTTTAACTTAGTTCTGCACCTGATGTATGGATATGCTTGGTGTGTTTTTTCCTTTTCATACATGCTAAGCCATCAAAATAAAGTAGGATATGATGAAGATCAAGTCAGAGTTCAGGAGATGTGTTTATTCAGTATTTTCAGACTTTGATAGTCTAAGAATCCGGAAGTTTAATATTTTCGTAGTTTATCAAAAAGTTTTGAAAATGCAGGTATTCAATTATGTAAATAGTTTTAAAAAGTCATTTGGTATTCTATCAGCGTGTTTGTATACAAATATATCTGCTCTAAATTAGTTCTTTTTGTTAATCCGAGTTAATTTTTAAAAAAATTGTATGGTTAGTTATTAGTGGGATTTTGATTTTATATCAAAAATAATATTTAAAATAAAATAATTAAAGTTGATTTGTTGTAAAAGTAATAGAGAGGTGATGTGAAGTGATAGTTAGTTAAAATTATGTGAGTAGATGAATAGTAAATTAAAGTTGATGTGATGTGTAAAAATGATTGGTTGATATTATTTAATTGTATTGATAATATTGAGATAGTGGAGTTAGGTTAAAGTTGAGTTAAATTTTAAGTATGAATTGAGTTTTTTTTTATTTTTAAGTTCTTTAAAAGTTACTATATATTTAGTTTATTTAGCAATTTTTAAGCTTCAAGATTTTGAAAACTACTATTGGGTTCAACTTTTGACTGTGGACTGCGATTTTTGGCTAGATATGTTTTTTTTGGCGAACTATGATTAGCTACAGCTTTTTAACTTAAAATTCAATCTTCATTTAATCTAATTTAATCCTCTTCAATAATATCAATATAATTAAATAATATCAATCAATCATTACTTTATTTATAAATTCTAAAAGAATTTTTTATTCATCCACTCACATATTTTAACTAGCACTCATTTACAATAATTATTTTGCTACTTTTACATCATATCATATTTAATCATTACATTTTAACTCATATTCACTCACACTCAAAATCTGATTGAAACCTTCACTCAATGGACATTTTTCAATGTTAACTCCCTTTATTCATAAATCAAATTCAATCCAAAAGAATTAGTGAATGACACCCTAGTAGGGCTGAGCATTGACCTTATCGAACAATATTGATTTTTTCTTTTAACTGTTCGAGCTCGACTAATGATGCTCTAGATCGACTCGACTAAAAGAAGACAATCGTTCGAGTTCGGCTCGAGATCGATTGAAATCAAAATGCTCGAACATATATAAAATATTGTAATATTTATACATAAAGAGTATTTTAGTAATTTACTAGCGGCTAGACCTTCCAAAACTTATGCTCGAGATTGACTCGATAACATGCTCGAGCTGCTCAGTTCGTACCCTAGAACCTTGCACAATAGGGCTACACTTAGTTTGTGTTGTAAAATGCATAAAATATTTCAACTTGTTATCATATATTTATTATATTAACATACTTCAAAATAGAAAAAAAGTATTTCAATATATCTTCAACTTACAAATGAAAATATATGAGACAAACAATTGGGATGGACATGGTACCTTTTTTCAACAAATAATGCTATTATCCTAGAAAAGAACAACAATGGTAATAGTACTAATAACAATAAGAATGCCTTCTTTATGTTAGAGCCATCATAAATAGATCTTACATTAGACAAGTGATCTTGATAACATTTTATGTTATACCAGAGACAAATATAAGAATTTTATTTGATCTTGTATTTCCTTCTTCTGTCAAATGCCCTCCAAATTTGATGCCACAGTCTCATATATACATAATTATTAAACAATAACAAAATCAGCAAAGAATATAAGAATAAAGTTGCAATTCAACATATTAAGACCCTCTTTTTCCCTCATCAATTGTAGTTTATTAGCTCCATATATTTCCATATTCAACACACTAGTGGTTGAGATTGTTAGGGTCCCCTGAAGAACATATTCTTCACATGCAAAATGTTAGAAAAAAAC